GTTTACAAGTGGCGGCCACTTTGGATATTTAAAGTAACCGAGGGTGCAACCATTTGGAATATTTACAAGTGGCAACCATTTTGGATTTTAAAGTGATAGCGTTCTCATCTAGATTCCAGGGACCTAAGAACAGGCTCTGTTTGCCAGGGTCAGCAAGGACATACGAGAGGCTGAGAAAAGAAAGGAAACAGGTGGTGAGTGTATAATTGCTGTTGACTAGTGAATACAGGAGCACAGCACAGTATCCTACCTGTATAGATAACATACAATCAAAAAACAAAGAAAACGAAAATTGTGGGCAAGTCACACCAACATATAATCACCAATTAAATATAAACACAAAAACGTCACAATGCCTTGGAGACAACAGACCATGACAGTCCACACAAAGAAGCAAGATAAAGCAGGGAAATGGGGCCAGGATACAGACCCAAAACACATCCCTGTAGAAGAGGCACCATTGGAAATCCCTGATAAGGAATTCAAAAGAATTATATTTAGGTATCTTCAAAGGATTGAGAGACAGACCAAGGAAAACACAGGCAAAACCCTAGAAGAAATATGGAAGAAAATACAAGAACAAAATGACAAAATAAATGAAAAATTAGAAATGATTCTAAATCTACAGATAGAAATCTCAGAAAATCCTAAATTGTCAGAAATAGATAACACATTGAAAGGGCAAAGGAGTAGAAGTGATGCAATGGAAGACAGAATTAATGAGATTGAAGACAAATACCTGAATACTTCTTTGAAAAGGGATCAATCAGAAAAAAGATCAAAACAAAATGAAGAAAGCCTAAGGTTCATGTGAGATATCATCATCAAAAGGAATAACCTACGTCTCATTAGAATTCCAGAACAGGAAGAGAAAAATGAAACCACTGAGAAAATTGTCCAAGATTTGTTGGAGGAGAACTTCCCTGATATGATGAAAGATGAGAATGTATTCATTCAGGAAGTCCAACGAACCCCAAACAGGATAGACCCCAAAAGAAAAACACCAAGACATAGCATCATCAAATTCACCAAAACCAAAGACAAAGAATCATGAGAGCAGCACAGGAAAAACAAAAAGTTACCTACAAGGGGCAACCAATAAGACTAAGCTCAGATTTCTTGACAGAAACCATGCAGGTGAGAAGACAGTGAGATGGCATATATAAAACACTGAAAGAGAAAAATTTCCAACCAAGAATTATGTACCCAGCAAAACTGTCCCTCAAATATGATGGTGAAATTAGGACATTTCCAGATAAGCAGAAATTAAGGGAATTTGTTAAAGCTAGACTAATCTTACTAGAGACGCTAAAGGGAGCCCTTTAGACAGAGAGGCAACAACAGCCAAAAACAACTGACCATTAACACACATGATGATATAACCCAGAAACCAACTCTGCTATGGAAGTATCCAAAGTAAATAAGCCTACAAGATTGTAAACAGGGAACCAGAGACACCAACTGACAAATGAGGACAACTACGAACCAAAAACAAGGAAAAAAATCTGTGTTGTTACAGAACTTCTAGATGGTAGGGAAGTCAAGACAACTATAAGATAGAACGGACTGTTCTACACTTGGGAAGAAAACTATAAATCACAGAAACCTCAAAGAAAAATGATAAACCTTCACATCAAAATAAAAAAGAGGCGTAACAATTTGTTATGTGTGACTGTAGACAAAGTGGCATTGTTCTATGTGGACTGCAGACGTAAAAACCTTCTGGATTAACATCTGAGTTCTCCGTTACTGCATTCCTGAAGCAAAAGCAGGACATAAGGTTTCAAGAAACGCTGGCGAACCCACCAGGTCAAGGACTCACACGTTAACAATTGCATGTCTACAGCATCTTCAAGACAGCAAGCCACCCATCATCTTCTTTATAAATACTTAGAGAAACAGCTGCAGAAAACCAGTCATCTCTCCACTGACAAAAAACCTGAGTACAGTCAAGAAAAACTTTTACAGCCCACGAAATCATGACCTCTTTTAAAACTTACCTATCTCCAAAACTGGAAAATCCCAAGGTCTGCGTTAATTAAACAAGAGATAACAAAACTTCAAATCCACTCTACCATGGAACAAAAACTGCAACCAGATGTTTATAAACAATCCTCCTTTCAAAACCCTAAAATGTAAAACGTTTTTAGAAAGGTAAATGCGTCGAGATTACCTGTTTTAAACCCAGAGACAAAATAAAATGTCAACTTCGTTAGCAGTCAAGTATTTTCCATGACATATAAAACTATCAATTTGCTTATCAAAAAGCAAAGGTAATTTTTACACTAAGCCTATGAAAAGACAACTGAATGTAACAGTGTTACCGAAGCAAACTAGAATCTGTAGTTTACGGAAGAGGTCTTCTCTGATTAAATATGACCAACGCCCATAGTCTTCCCTGTGACGAGGGCCAACCCACCAGTGGGCCAGGGCTATGCCATTATCTCTGAACGGGAGAAAAAACTTTGATGCGAAACGTTGAACTGGTCCATTTCCTATTTTCATAAACTTCACCCTAAGCAGTACGTCCACAGTGATGTTAGCGTCTGTCACTGCACGCGCTCCCACCATTCATTTCCACCCTCCCCACCCTCCCAACACAAAAACAAAATCAGCCCATGTGCTTGGAGAAACTGTTGACATTCTGCCTTAGAACATACACGCACAAAAACCCAAAGTTGAAAGTCTTTCAAAATGTGGATTTCCTGTCTCAACAACCACGTATAACTAGAAAGAGTTAAGGTGTTGACGTGTGACCTCTGCATGGTTAGAACCTGGGACTAAAGCACCACGAGGGCATGAAGCTGGATTTGTATGGAAATCTGGAAGTTTATTTCAGACTTGATCAGTGAGGCATCTCCTTGTAATTTCTCTTTCTCAAAGATAATTTACTTCCTCAAAACAGATCTGGTGAGTTGAGTCTGTCATTGAAAACTGCATTTACAGCACTCTTAACTCCGAAAGCCATTTCACAGACGGAAAGGGCACCCAGTATATCTGACAGCTTCTCACCGGTCTCAGGAAGAAATCCTGTATGTTTCAAAAGGTGCTAACTTACATACTAGGATAGTGGGGAAACACAAGCCTGAGGATCCAGGAGACTGTGTTATTCCAAAATCAATGAATTCGTGATACTCGTGGCTGAGGGAGACTTGTTTTGAGTATGTAAAAACATAGACATTTCCACACAACGTGCGTCAGCAAGTTCCGACTGGATCACAGTTAAGATGAACAAACACATCCAATCATCCTTATGTGTCAGATGAAGCAAGGGAGTAGCCAATCACATCTGCACAGCCGAACAGCACAATACAGAGACCACACGCATCTAACTACACACAAGTGAGGAGGACCTCATTGACAACAGGATCTGGTTCTGAGCCTCCTAAAACTTAATTAAGACTGGAGAGGGTATCCCACATAAAGGTAAAAAGATCAACAGAAGGCTTTAAAACAATTCCCAAAGAAAGATTATGGGACTCGGGTTTCAGAGAAAGAATGATTAAAGGCTGTGAGGTATCATCACATAACACTGAGGAAGGATCAGGATGGTTTTTTAAGAAAGTGTTCTAATTAGCAGGTAGTCCTAGAAGACAAAGTGAAGGCTGCAGATGATACTTCTTTTTCGGGAGTGAAGGATCAAAGGGGGTGACAGTGTCTCCTTTCCTCAAGCTGCAAAGAGAGGTGGCCATTCTCTGGGACCGGGAAGCGGTGCTTACAGGCATAGGGGGTGACGACCAGAACACTGACGGGAACGTCACCTCTGTGGTGGTAATTTTAAGGGGAGGAAGTTGGCTCCATAGAACAATCAAAACCAGGAAAAAGAAAATACCCTACAGATTAAATCTGCTGACAGCCAGTGCTCAGGAAGGAACTGTCCAAAATATATCTTACGTTACAGAATCCTGCATTACTGAAGAACATAGTGACATCTTAGCAGACTGGCCTCAGGAACTTTCCTAAGTACAAAATGAATTCCCCCTTTATCCCTTCCAGGACTGGGGGAGGGGAGCTACAGAAGGAGGAAGAGCGTGTAAATGTCATGTGATGAGAGTGCACACTGTCCATTATGGAGAAAGTGCCCCAGCTGACTGACAGGTCCACTGTAGGGCATCTGCTGAGGAATCTCATTTGAACTAAGTGGTACGCAAAATATACCTCAAAGATTTTTGTCATATGGACTCAACTGCTGCAATGTCATTTTACCTGTATAACGAATAAGGGAACAACAAATGCACCCTACAACAAATGACTATCTCATGCATATTTAGGGAATGAAAAACCAAACCAAACCCACTACCAGCCAGTCCATTCTGACTCACAGCGCCCCTAGAGGACAGAGTGGAACTGCCCCACAGGGTTTCCAAGGCTGTCAGTCTTCACAGAAGCAAAGCCCAAACCACACCCAGTGCATGGAGTCCATTCTGACCCACAGCGCCCCTAGAGGACAGAGTGGAACTGCCCACAGGGTCTCCAAGGCTGTCAGTCTTTGAGGAAGCAGACTGCCTCCTCTTTGTCCCATGGAGCAGCTGGTGGTTTTAAACCACCAACCTTTTGTCCAGTAGCCAAATGTCTTAATCACTGTGCCATTAGAGTGCCTCTCATATTTAAGGTATTTAAGGAAAAATACTAAAGCTTTATGAAAAATTAGACTTTGATATGACTTAAAAAAAAGTTTCAACATTCTCTACAAAATTGATAAAATTAGTTTAAAGTTAAATTGTAGAAAAACATTCTAGTTCCTACCCACTTTACTCAGGAGTTTTCAGAATAAGCCAAGGTATTACAAAGAAGATTATAAAACCATTTAAAATATATTTTACACCATTTTTATTTACATTTGAAAATGTAAACAGCTTGCTGGGAACACCCTCTGTGAGGCAGAGTGGTCGTTAAGCTTCAGGCCAGGCTCACTCCTCCTCTCTGAAGGGAAAGCAACACAAGTGTTAGCTGGAAACCGCCCACTTAACCATCCTGTGTTACAGCGACCTGACTGTGACCTAGAGGGCCCCCCACCTCTGTCTGCACTCTGGAGGAGGAGGTCTCGCTGCGCTTCTGTGGGAGGGGTCTGCGGAGTTCATGACGATCGAGATGGACACGTGGTACTCGTAGCGTTCCAGCATCTGCGCGATCTTCTTCCGAGACACGCCATGCTTATTCCTCCTACCAGAACAGACAAGAGTTTGAGACCATTTCTTTACACGTGGAGGCTTGGAGGGGAAGCCACCTGAGAGGAGCAGAATACAGATTCAAAATCCTATTGTTTGCCGATAAACACCAGAAGAGGGGTTTCACTGACCCATGTTTTGTACTGGCTCCCGGAACATTTCAACAGTGTCTCTGAAAGGCTTAAGGATCCCACAAGCCTCAGCCAAGCGCCCCTCGGTCATGACCCTTACACGGCACCACCCACTCACAAAATCAAAGATGATGAGGCACTGTTCTGAGAATTACAGAATAACGGAATGGACTTTCAAGACTTTTATCAGTATAAAATATTGATCGCTTTTTTAAAGTAATTTTAGTGACTTGACGACAGTGAACGATAGGCTATATCATTTAAATGGTCATGATTATCAACACTACGCTATAATGAGAGGATCACCCCATGTGTGGACATCCCTCACAAACAAGAAGCTTGGCACAAAGTGAAGTTATAAAGTCTGAAGTGAAGTTTGATGTAACATTTGAAAAAGTGCACAATGAAACCATGATGTTGAAGCAGAAGATGTCCTGGTAACTTTAAAGCCAGGGAGGGATGGTGACTGTGCTGCTGTGTGCCACCAAGTCAACTGCCATGCGCACGCCCTCCGTGGGACAGAGCAGAACTGCCCACGCGGCTTTGCCCAGCCCGTCCTCCTCACGGGAGCAGATCCCCGGGTCCTCTCCTGCAGGCTGGCTGGAGGGTTCCAACTGCTGACCTTTTAGTTTGCAGCCAACCTTCTAACCACTGTGCCACAAGGCTCAGCAGGGAAGGGGGTGGTTTGGGGGCTGCAAGTAAAGGGTAGGTGGGGAGTCGCACAAGGGTGATGACAAGAGGAGTAGCTGCTTTATAAGGCATCTGGTAAGCTGTATATTTATACATTCTACGTGTTTTTATATGTGTGTTTATTATCTGTAGTAACAAAACCGGGCTTTAATATTATTCCTGACCCTGAGAGAACTTTTTAAAATCTACTTTTCCTCACAGTGTTCTGTAACTTGACTTGAACATAACAAAATACACAGGGCCATACTGCACATTTAATACTGTCGTTCTCGATTTAAAACACTAATGCCACTTCATTGATCCCAGGAAAAAAAAAAAAAGTTTATTTTTCAAAACTGTCCATACTTAGATGCAAGATGAAAGGGAGGAAAAAAAAGAGAGGTGAGAGGAAAAAGGAGATCTGAAGTTGCAAACTGGCCAGATATGACTCCATAAAGCCCCAAGAGGCCAACGCAGCAACACAGCCGATTCTTTTCAAACATTAGTCCGATCCACGGCAGCTGCTGGTCAGTTCACAGTGAGAGTCCCAAGTTCTGGGGTCTGAACAGCTGTAAAAGCGAGTTTTGCTCCTGACTGACAAAGGCAGCAAATGCAAGCAGCCCTGGCCTCACCTAGCGCATGATCAACCCTGACCTGACGCTGGTTGTTCAGAGTCTCCCTTTTCTCACTCAGTGTGTCTACGCATGAGCCGCTGCCCAACTGCCGAGACAGCGATTCCCACACGCTGCCCCAGACTCTGCTGTGTGCTCGCTACCCTGACAGAACACAAGAAAATCTCGATCCCGAAACACAGGCGTTCCAAGAATCCTGCTTCTGGGATTATGGACCTGAAGTGGCAAAAATGGGAAAGGGCAGTGAGATGAAAAGACCAGGGAGCTTCCTGGAAAAACAGCGATGGGCTTACAAGGGCAATGCAGAGTTGGCCTCGCTAAAAACCGGAGGGAAATGTTCTAATTTTTCCCTCACGGTTTTCTGGATTCTAGCATTTGACAAATGCATCTAATGAACCTTTAACGAGGCTGGGCTCCAAGAGATTCTGACTCTGCGCACCCCATCAGTGTTCACCTTAACAGAAGCGAAATGCCATAGTCACGACTCGCAACAGCAAAGACATGATCAGAAAAGCTAGTGAGGAAAACTGAGCACCCCGAGGAGGCAACAAAGGAAAAGGCAAACAACAGTAGAAACGCCAGCGCCTTACTTTTCTAATTCTTCAGGATCGAATTTCCACCAAGTCTCAGGTTCATGAAACTCGACTCTGTAGCCTTTTCCTATGGCCTATACGAAGGAGGGGGGAGAAAACAGAGACCAGAGGACGCTTCATAAAGCGAAAAGGATGGCAGACAGACACACATCTCATTGAGACATACTTCCAAGAATGCTCAACCAGTACAATTTTACTTTATGTAAAATTCTTCAGTATGTTTCATTAACAAAGAGCCAAGCCACCACATTGGTAAGCCATGAAAAATGATCTCTCTCTGAGCTCATACTTACCATTTCCACATATGGTTTCATCTCCCACGCTTGCGTATTGGTGTTGTCAATTATAACTGGGGATCTCCCCTGAGCCATGGCTTGTTTGGCTGAAATAAAAATACGTTTAGACAATAAAACAAAAAACAGGCAACTCTCAAGGTTAAAACACACAATCAAGATGCAATCCCAACATTAATTACCAAGAAACATTCTACATCTCTGTATTTCACACCAAAACGATTCCATCTGGTAGGTCAGTCCATGGAAAAAAGGCCCCTGCTAGAGGAAACGGGAACTGAGCAACGTAACCACACGTAACGTGTGTTCTCAGGATCAGATGCTGGCAGTGAGGACCCAGTCGTGAGTGACATTTCGGGGACAATGAAGCCTCCAGCCTAGAGCAAACCTCAGTTACAGGAACATCGGAGGCAGAGAGAAAAAGTAACCCTGCACACGGGTGGGCTATGAGAGGAGCTGGACAAGATGGAGACGGTCAGCAGGAAAGGCGAGAGCAAGCAACATGGACAGGCAATCTCACTGGCGCCAAAAGTGCAAACACACAGGAAGAGTCTACCAAGATACTAAATGTGGCCCTCTGCAGGTGGCAGGAATAGCTGCATTTTATGGTTACCTGTGTTTTCTGATTTTCTACAAGGTACAAATAATGTTTATTTTTTTAAGTGAGAAAGGCTATTTAAACAAAATAACGCTTGGTGCCTTTATCCTTCCTTACCAGCAGAACTTTACAAAGCAAGTGGCTGAACAGCACATTCCCAGTGGCCTTGTGCTTACACCCAACTGAGGTCTCAACGGGGGCGTCCAGGGAGGATGGGCTTTGGAAGCTAAGCTTCTCCATGCCAATGCCATCTCCTCCCCTGAGGCAAAAACCACTGCCTCAGAGCCACATCCATCTCCTCAACGTGAGAACCACTGTCTTACAGCCACATCCACCTCGAGGCATGAACCACTGCCTCAGAGCCACAGCCATGTCCCTGAGGTGAGAACCATAGCTTCAGAGCCACATCCACCTCCATGAGGTAAGAACCACAGCCTCAGAGCCATGGCCACATACTTGAGGAGAGAACCACTGCCTCAGAGCCATGCCATCTCCTCCCCTGAGGTGAAAACCACTGCTTCAGAGCCACGCCCACCTCCCTGAGGTGAGAACCACTGCTTCAGAGCCACGCCCACCTCCCTGAGGCAAGAATCACTGCCTAGGAGCCATGTCCACCTCCCTGAAGCGAGAACCACTGCCTCAGAGCCACATCTACCTCCCTGAGACGAGAACCACTACCTCAGAGCCAAGTCCATCTCCTTGAGGAGAGAACCACTGCCTCAGAGCCACTGTCCATGATGGAGTGTGCGTACCCCTCAGGCGCAGCAAAGATGAAATAGTAAGACCCTCTGATAAAAATCAGAAGGCTGAGGCAAAATGCAGTCACATGGACTTCTTCTTGGCACTTAGAATTCAAGTCACTAAGTTCCACACAAGAGAAACGTGTACGTGGATGTGTAGGGCAGACAAAAGTCTAAAGGTCAGTTAAGCAGTAATAACTACCAACTCAGCAACTGACCACAATAGGGTACATATTTTGGAGAGAGTATTTGTAAGGACCAAAAGAAATTTACAGTGTGGTCACACACAGGACACCGAAATGCTGCCTCCCCCCATCACTCAATCACCAGTCATAAATACTGATCTAACTTCCATTAAGCAATTACTAAAATAATTTCCAGTCCCATCTGATAGGCTGACACCTACAAGGAGTGATGTTCTGGGACATGCTGCTGGTTGCCATCACGTGCGCCAACTCACAGTGACGCCCTGTGTGCAGAGAACTGCCCCACGGGCCTCTCACAGCTCTCAGAAGGAGATCACCAGGCCTGTCTTCTGAGGCCTCTAAGCGGGTTTGAACCACCAGCTTTTCAGCTGGTTGTTGAGTACCTCCTGTTTGAGCCACCCAGGGATGCCTGCTGCGAAAGAGGGGCTTATTAAGCAAGTACGTTCCTGACTTGTGGGATCAGGGAGACCACTCTCCTTCCAGGACCAGTCATCATCCAACACCACCTTCCGGTGCATTTCACAGGAGTAGACGCCGCCAAGATAGAACGTCCAAGAAAAGAAACTCCAACTACACCTCGACCCTCAGTAACCACCAGTCAACTGCTCAGACATATGAGCACTACGCTCTAACAAGAGAATGACAACACCTGGGCTGTTGGGCATTTTAAGTGTTCTCATGTGAATTTAAATTCTTCTAATAATCAACAGGCTTTAACGTGAGGCAGGGTGTTCCCTGGGCAGTGCAAACTGTTAAGCACTCTGCTGCTATCCAAAAGGTTGGAGGTTTAAGTCCACTCCGAGGCACCTTGGAAGAAAGGCCTGGTGATCTGCGTACAAAACATCAGCCAGAGAAAACCCTACACAGCACAGTCCTACACTGACACACAGAGGTCTCAGCGAGTCGGAACTCACTAGATTAGCACAGGTGTTAATGAGCCAACAGTCACGCCCAGAATGGTGCCTGGCATTTAAGAGCGCACAACAGAGTATCTGTTTAAAAGAGTAATTTTTCCCTAAAGAAAATGAGTCATGCCTATAATTTTCAAAATGGCAACCAGTGTCCATAAGGATTACAGTCCAGAAAATCCTAAGGCTGATACATGCCACAACATGGATAAAACTTAAAAACATTATGCTGAGTGAAAGTCGCCAGACACCAAAGCCACAGATCCCGTGATTCTGTTCATACGAGACACCCAGGAGAGGGCAAGCCAGAGAGACACCAAAGAGAGCAGTGGCTGCAGGGGCCGGGGTGGGGGAGGGGGGCAGTGGCTGCTGAGGGGTGCGGGCTCTCGGTTCTGGGGTGATGCAAACCTTCCGGAATTAGAGGGTGCTGCTGGCAGCACAAGCTCATGGAGACAGGAAAACAAGTTGATCATACGCTTAAAATGGATAAAAGATCATGAAAAGCATGGAACAGTTCTACTCTGCAACACATGGGACTGTGTAAGTCAGAATCAACTTGATGGCAATGGCTTTGGTTTGGTTTGGTTTCTTCTTCAAACAGATGACGCAACTGGATCTCGGAGCTGTCAGTCTTTCAGCTGCAAAAGTCTGAGTCGAGGGTAAACTCGCTTTCTGACTCCCAGTCAACTGTTCTATCTCAGGAGACTGGACCTCAAACCAACCTCTGCTCTGGTTCCAGTCATGGGCGTCACCAAGCTGGTTCACGTTGTACCTGTAGCCATCTTGGTGGCGGAAATAGTCGTCCGTGCTGAACACAATGCCGTCGCGACTCTGACCAAGCAGAATTCTGTCAACGAAATAAACCACAGAAATGCCGATTACAAAATCTATTTCCCCCAGAAACGCACCACACAGGAAAGGTGTTGAGAGACTTCCTGGTATTCACCTGTAAAGACAGAACTACCAGAGCAGCACAGGGGCCAAATGCCACTGAAGGCGTGCAGGTGTCACCTCCCATGTCACACTTCGACCCACACGATCACAGCCAGTACCAAGAGCTTTTGGAAGCAGCATCTGTACGAGACATTGTGAAACATCCTTACCCAAGTCCCAAAGTGCGCCAACTATGACTCACAGCTTACCTCCAGGGAGTTTGTCCTTGGTGTCAGAAATGGCCTGAATTTGGCGCAAGGTGACCTAAAAAGCAAACAAGCCTAAGCAAGCACTGCATCTGGGGGGAACCACTCAACCCACCACAGCTCTGATGGACTCGCGTCCATGAAGCACAAACACACGTGACTTTCAAGGGGCTCAGAAATCACTGTGCTTCCCCAAAATACAATCAAACTTCAAAATTCTCAAGCAATTAAATTACTAAATGCAATGCTGAATTAGCAAATTAGTTTACAATATAGTTTTGTGGTGGTTATGTTTGTGTGTCACCTGGGCTGGGCCTGGTTGAGTGGCTGGGCAGCTGGTGGGAGCTATTCCCCATGATGAGACTGGCAATCACCTCCGTGGTGGGATCTACCACAAGCAGCTGTAAGTAGCTGCCTAAGGGATGTGGTCTGCTTCCTGTATTTAAGGAGAAGCCTTGGGAATGGTCTCTAGCCTATGGCACGCTTGGACCCTGCATGTAGCCGTATCGTTGCTCAGCAGCCTGCCATGCTCTGCCGACCTTGGGACTTACAATGGACTTAAGTTAAGGGCCTGCCGTGTGGTTTGGTAACATCGGGACTGTGCCTTTTTCCTTGTCAATCTTGGGGCTTCTCAGCCTCAGCAGCCAGCAGCTGTCTCAGTGAAGAAATGCCTCTAGCTTCGGTGGGCCAGGAGCAGGAGGCAGAGCTGGACCCCAAGACTGAGGGGCTTTCACCCAGCCCCTAGAGCCTGGCACTTTGAACTTGGACTTAAAGCCTCCAAGTTGTAAGAATAAACTCTTGTTAAGGCCATCCCATTTGTGGTATATTCTTGTTAGAGCGGCACTAGGGAACCAGAACAAGTTTTATTAAAAAAAAAAAGTAAACGACTAAATAAAAATAACAATTAATACTAAATAAAGAAGAAACTCTCAGATTAAGTCAGTAATAATGAAGCTTCGTCTTGACAGCGTGGTACCGCTGCTGTTGAGTCAATTCTAACTCACAGTGACCGCATGGGACAGAGAACCGTCCCACTGGGTTTCTAGGCTGTACAGAATTTTTACTCAAATAATTCACAGCATACTTTTTTTTTTCTGCCAACCACACAGGCATGCTATGCTAATTTTTTAACAGCAACACATAAAAAAATTAGTATAGTGTGCTTACGAAAACACCTGGAGGGGAGGGCACAGTTGGCACAAAGAATACAGTGTGTGCTGTTTGCAGTAAAATAGAGTAATCTTTACAGGAGCTGCTGTCAGGCCTTTCTCCCTGAAGCCACTGGGTGGGTTCAAACCACCAACCTTCTGGCTAGCACCTGAGCACCTAACCACTGTGCTGCCAGGGCTCCTTGACAAGGTGATACCGCCTTAAATTTCCAAGCACAGTGTGGTTAACCAGTGTCCAGAGTGTTCCTCGTAACTGATGAGTCATGAAAGAGAGTCGGGGCGGTGGGCGGGGGGAGTGCTATGTAAGAGGAGAAAAGCATAAAACAACGATTTGGAAAGCCCCCCCAAAAAAGGGTTTTATGTATTTTGTTTCTCTTCTCTTTCTCAACCATTAGGCAACTGGGTATCAGTCTGTATTTTTTTCTTCTTTGTTGTTGTTGTTATTTGCCGTTGAGTCGGCCCCGACTCATAGCGACCCCTCCTTGGTTTTCTGAGGCAGTATCACTACGGAAGTAGATTGCCCAACCTTCCTTCCGAGGAGTGGCTGGTGGGTTTGAACCGCCAGCTGTCTGGTTAGCAGTCAAGTGCCTTAGGCACTACACCACCAGAGCTCCTCTTTTCTTCTTTGGAAGGGGAGAAAGGGTAGAAGATGATAGATGGAACTGAGCAAAGAACACCATCTCAGGATGGTTCCAGAATGTTCAGGCAGCCAGCTCCCGTGGACTCAACTTGACAGACAGCGCCCTAATGTGTGTCAGCGGGAAGCTGTGCTCCACAGGGGTCCCAACGGCGGATCTCTCCCAAGGAGAGTGCAGGCCTTTCTTACAAGATGCCTCTGGGTGGACTTGACCCACCAACCTTCCAGTCAGCAGCTGAGCATGTGAACTGTTAACATCACCCAGGGACTCCTCAAAAATATCTCCTTCCTCAATATTGTGTCAGAAGGCCCAGACAGAGCAGTAAGTCAGGGAAAAGAAATAAAAGTATTCAGATTGGGAAAGAAGTAAAATGGTCTCTATTTATGGGTAGTACAATCCTGTGTATAGAAAATCCTGAAGAGCCCAGAAGAAAACGTCTAGAGCTTGAAGAGGCATTTCACAAAGCTGCAGGGTCCCAGGACAAAAAATGAAACTGGGCAGCAATGAGAAATCTGAAAGGGACATTAAGGAAACCATTCCATTTACAACAGCATCTAAGAAAACGAAATACCTGGGAGTAAATCTAACCAGGGCGTGAAAGATTCACACAATGAAAACCGTAAAACACTGCCGGAAGAGGCTAAAGAAGACGTAAGTAAGTGGGAAGATGTTTCATGTTCATGGGTTTGAAATCCTAATATCATTAGAATGTCAGTACTACCCAAAACAATCTATAGATTCAATGCAATCTTGATCAAAATTCCAACAACATTCTTTACAGAAATAGAAAAACCAATCTTCAACTTTATCTGGAATTGCAAGAGGCCCCAAATAGCTAAAACAATGTTGAAAGAGAACACAGTAGGGGACTCATATTTAATGATTTTGAAACATACTGTACAGCTATAGTAATCACAACAGACTGGTTCTGGTGTAACAAGAAAACACAGAAATAATGGAACAGAACTCAGAGTCCAGAAATAAACCCATACATCTATGATCAACTGATTTTTGACAAAGGTGCTAAATTCATTCAATGGGGACAGAAGAGTCTCTTCAACAAATGGTGCTGAAAAACTCAGATTTCCATACACAGAAAAATGAAACTGGATACGCCTCACACCATATACAAGAACAAATTCAAAATGGAGTGACGACCTAAACATGCAAACTAAAATCACAAAATTCTTAGAACAACAAACAGGGGCAACCCTGCCAGGCCTCACTTTCAACAATCTATTATAATATAATAACAAAACCACAAACAGCAAAAAACAAAATAAATGGTACGTCATAAAAATATAAAATTTTTGTTTCTCAAGGAACTTAAAAGACAAACTACCAACTGGGAGAGTATCTTCAGAAACCATATACCCAACAAGTATCTAATAACCAAAATAGATATGAACCTTCAACAACAACAAAAAAACAAGTAAGTCAATCATAAAATGGGCAAAGGACTTGATTAGACATTTCACCAAAGAGGACATTCAAATGGCTACTAAACACATTGAAACATGCTCAGTGTCGTTACCCACCAGGGGTGCAAATCAACACCACAACGAGACCCCATTTCACTCCCATTAGGATGGCTAAGACTTAAAAAAAAAAAACTCTGAAAATAACAAACGTTGACAGAGATGTGGGGAAACTGGAACACTTAACTCACTGCTAGTGGGAACGCAAAATGATACAGCCATCGTGGAAAACAGTGTGGCAGTTGTTAAAAAACTAAAAACAGAACTACCATATAAGCCACAGCAATTCCGCTCCTAGGTACGTACTCAAAAGACTTGAAAGCAGAGACAAAAAGAGATTTGTACAGCAACGCCCATCAACAGAGGATAGATACCCACATACAATGGAATCTGTCTCAGTAGGAGGAAAGAACTCTTGCTACATGCTACAGCATAGACTGAGCTTGAAGACACTATGCTGAGCAAAATAAGCCATTCACAAAAGGACAAATACCGTATGACTTTACTTACATGAAAAAACTAGAAAAAGCAAATGTACGGAGATCACAGTTGATTGGTGGTTACCAGGGGCAGGAGGGAGGAGAGAATGAGGGGCTAACAGTGTTGGAAATACCACATTCAGTAAGGGTAGTAAGAGTAGTACTGCTGATTACTGTAATTGTTGACAGATATATTTACAACAATGAAGGAAAAGAAGAGAGAGAGAACACCTGCTGGGAGTGCTTATGTACAACCAAACACCACATGGGATTTGGTTCCTTGGTTTGTAGGTTTTAGGGTCATGGTTTCATGGGACATCCCAGCGGACTGGCCTACTACCATGTTTAGTGCTTCTGTGCCACCTCCCAGTTCACTGCATAGTGCCTTGGGGTCTTCAAAGTTTTTAAGTAGCGATCCAGGACACAATTGGTCTCTATTCACCTGGAGCAACAGAAGGCAGGAAGGGATAGGAAAGGATGAATGGAAATCAGAAACACTTGGAGGAAGTGGAAAGAGAGCTGTTACAGTGTGGGTGGGGGCTGCAATCAGTGTCACGAAACAAAAGGTGTATGAACTGTTGAATGGAAAACCAATCTGTAAACTTTCACCCAAATCTCAATAAAAAGTTATTAAAAAGACAAAGAAATAAATGTAGTTTGCTAACTGGTAGAGCACATCTCCTCTTACAGTTTTCTTTCCCCAAAATTGTCCTTGAAGTTCTGATCCACTTATATGCCAAATGAACTTCAGAAACGGCTTATTAAAATGCATACAAAAATCTCTTGGGGATTCTGATTAAAGTTACACTGAATTTATAAACTAATTAACGAGATTAGTGGCATCTGTACTCTATTGGGTCTTCCCGTCCCTTAAAAACGCTCCGGCCAAAACCAGGGCCAAAGCTACGGAGGCTTCCCCTTGCGATTTTTCTCACCACCAGCAG